TGTACTTATTTCAAAAAGTATTTAAGATTGCTTGAGCATATTTGTAAAATTGTCTGAAAGGTATCCTTTTCCGTTGATGATTAATAAATAGTCGTATAATAAATGAAATAAGATACGTGAAATAATGAAATAAGTTTGTATGCATGCTTCATTTCACTACTTATCATATGACTATTTATTAATCGTCAAAAAAAAGAGATACCTTTCAGATAATTTTATAAGTATGCTCAAAGAGTCTCAAGTGCTCTTTTGTCTATATTTATATTTATTCAGAAATGGTACACAACATTTGTCAACATGTTATTCCTCGCTTTTAACAAATTCGACATGGCCAGTAAGATACAAGCAGCCTTAATAATAGTAGTTACATTACGTGTTATTTCTTTATTTTATAATAGTTATATTTTCTGTTTTCATTGAGTTTCTGTTTAACACATTCGATATTTAGCAATATATTATATATTATAAATTATTCCACAGATTATAAACAAATTATTTATTCGTGATGTTCACTCGAATTCTTTATACAGATTAATGCGCCATTTGCATAATGGGATTATTAAGTGCTTGCAAAAGTTCTCAAAATCACAAATAGATGACTGCAATAGCAACTTAGTAATTGTATTCCTTTAAGTTGCATTTTAGTTTTTAACTGTTATCGATATTTGATCAAAATTGATGGTTAATAACATATAGTTCTGAACAAAATGTTACATTTAACGGGATTGAAGATAGAATCAGATAAATTTCATCTTTGTTACTACATGCTTCACCACATTAATCGAGGTGAAAGTGCTGCAACAATTAAAAATTGATTTGTGCAATCAATGGTGAGAATATTATGTCTGTTGCTATGTAGGAGAAGTTGTTTAAAAGGTTTAGAAAAGGTAATTACGATGTCAACAACAAGCTATGTCCTGGTCATCCAAATGAGATAAAGAACAATAAACTGGAAGCATTACTCAACGAAAATTTGGTTCAAACTTTAAAAAAGCTTGCAAGATAGCTTGGAGTACTATTGATGAATCAATAGTATCTCGCCATTCGAAAACAATGAGAAAGATCTAGAAGGAAGAAAGATAGTTTCCCCAAAAATTCTCTATGATTGCGAACTGGCTTATTATTTGTATATCATTACTTTTCAGACACAAAAAGAATTTTTTGCAACAAATAGTTACAGTTATTAAAAAGTAAACCCATTTTGACAATCCTAAATGCAAAAAGTCATGAGTCCCGGTTAATTAAACATCGACATCCACATCAAAACGCAACATCCACGGTCATAAGAGTTTCCTGTGTATCTGATGTGACCAAAAAGAAGTGCTTTACTATGAGCTATTTCCACCGGAGCAAACAGTCACAGGAGATCGATATAGTTAACAGTTATGACATTTAAACCAAACTATGGAGGAAAAACGCCCTCAAATAGACCGACGCAAAGTCATCGTGCTTCATGACAATGCCAGACTGCATATTGCTGTTGCGATTAAAGAGACGTTGTTCGAGTTAGATTAGGAAGTCCTGTCACATACTAACGTACTCTTTAGACATCGTCCCATCTAATTTTGACCTATTTAGATCGACGCACTACGATCTATTTGATATATGGTTCCGAAATATTGAGAAAATACGAAAATGGATCACTGAATGGATTATCTCAAAAGATGAGCCATTTTATAGAAGCGGAATTAAATTATTGCAAAAATGGCAAAAGATTCTTTGATACATCTTGATAAGTAATGTTTTGCCACCTTTCGAAAGGTTTAGCCAACTTTCGGCCAATAAAGCAACGACCAATATTTTCCCCAGTAAGGAATATTAAATTAACGTTTAGAAACGTTGACTTCATGTGCATTGTTTGACATTTTTTTAATAATAAATTGCATTTATATTTTTCACATGTTATTTTGTAATATGATTTTTGTGAATGTTGTTTAAACGTTTTAAAAACAAATTACAAAAAATATATTGTTCAAATGTTACTTTAACATTTATTTGAGATAATGCAACATCTTAAAAATATTTCTGCCAATTAAAACGTTATAGCAACCCTATTTCAACATTATTGAAACTTCCAAATCGCGATCAAAGTATGTTCATAATGATGTTTGATACAACATTAAACACTACATATTTGACAATAATACAGGTTCTTCAATATTATAGTAGCAACGTACTAATGATTTCTTGTTTACTGGGTCATTAAATTATTAAATATCATTTCACTGTTATTAATAATAATGGCTTTAGTATCATATAAACTTTTGCAAATACTTAATAGAAAAGCATAGAAAGGAAGTTGTAAGTACTAGACTCATTCTCCGATTTTAAAGGATAGGAATTCAATTTCACAAAGTAAATTTGCGTGTTAATATTGTTAATTATTTCTTCAGCTGTCTTATTATCATGGTAAGAATATTTATGTATTATTAAATTGACAAAAATCTTTACTTCAATTATATTCATTTACTTAACATAAATTTATTAAAAATAGAAATACAAAAAACTATTGTAAGTACATTAACACAACACTTATGCCGTCGAAATTTCATATTATTCGAGTTACTACTCAAAAACGAGTTGTGTAAACAATATTTACAAAATTGTACAATTAAACAAAAATAGTATCTTGTAATGATTGTATTTCTGAAAACCATCTATGCTCTATTACCACCATTTTTGACTTAAATACTCCAAATGATATCAAATACTTTTGAATAATATCAATGCTCTTACATGAATTTTCATCAAAGTTTAATTGCTAAAATGCTTAAGTAACATTATATTATTACTATTGATGTTATACTATTATACTTTCTCAGATGACTCTATGTACTATAATCTCATATTTGTTTAGAATATAAATAGTAAATTTATAACTGTAAGTCATCGAATGATCCACGTAATATGTGTAATATAAATATATGAATCTTATTTACTGTGCTTAGTATAGAAAGTGGAATAACCGTGAGTAATCATTTATGTGTAACATTTGATATTTATTTATTTATTTATTTAACGGGAGAAACTCTTTTATACATAAAATGTGCAGTGTCTCTTTATATATGTTAGCAAATCAATGTTTATATACATATATTAGTAAATTAAATTTCCCAAACTAGATTTTTTTTACGTAAATATGTACAATCAATGTACGTAGATACATCTAGTAAAGTAATGTAACACTAACAACTATATATAAAGTTATTTAAACATTTTATCATTAAAGGGATTTATGGTTTTGAAGATTAAAAAATCAATTTTTCTATTTTTGCATTTTATGAAAGCTTATTTTTTTAGAGAAATATCCCAAAAATATATTTTCTATAAAAAATAAAAGTTAACTAAAATATATCAAATCAGACAGATCAGAACGATGCGGCGCATGAAATCGCTTGCTAACTCAAGTAGCGGTTTACCAGCCGGTTGCTTCACAAAAAGTTTTAAAATTTATTAAATCAATCTATAAGAACTTATCTGCAGACAATTTATTAAATAGATATGTCGGAGCACACACTCAGAATAACAATAAATTATTAAATTTATTGATATAAATATATGTCCCGAAAAATTTCTACACCGGCAAAAAAGTGGTAAAAATCACCAATTTACTAGTCAGCACATTCAATAATGGCTTCATGAATATATTTCAAATAATGAATATATTTCAGATAATGGTTATAACTATCGGCAGCATATTCTGTAACTTTCACGGAACGAGACTCGACTCAAGTGCTTAGCTCACCGTGCATCCTTGAGTTACAAGGAAGCGAAGACTACCGCTTGAGGGGCGAGAACAACTCAAAACGAGATGTATAAAAGAAAGTTCTCTTTATAGCTCTGGAATAGCTGAGTAAGGGTAAGTACAATAGTTTTAACATACTATCATAAAAAATTGTTTTACAAAACTTTAAATGAATTTTTCTCGAAATTGTGTTTTCGAATATAGTGATCACAATTCCAAAAAAAATACTACTAGTTCGATCGTTTTACAATTTTACACTTATATTCAGCAAGCATGCAGTTATCGTCTAAAGCACAATCAATAATCTATATTTTTCTTCTTTTTAATACCATATAAACTTTTGCAAATATTTAATAGAAAAGCATAGAAAGGGAGTTGTAAGTACTAGACTTATTCTCCGATTTTAAAGGATAGGAATTCAATTTTACAAAGTAAATTTGCATGTTAATATTGTTAATTATTTCTTCAGCTGTCTTATTATCATGGTAAGAATATTTATGTATTATTAAATTGACAAAAATTTTTACTTCAATTATATTCATTTGCTTAACATAAATTTATTAAAAATAGAAATACAAAAAACTATTGTAAGTACATTAACACGACACTTATCCCGTCGAAATTTCATTTTTCCAAATAAGAGGAAGAGGAATAAGTAAAATTGAAACCTTTTTTCAAGGTGCCGCTATATCCCAAATGCACGCGATATCTATTATGTTGTTTTAAATGAGAATTACAAGTTCACTTATCAAGAAAGTTGCGCAGTTTTCGTTTTCGGACCAACCACAAAACTTTCTGTATGGTCACTGCGTTCGCGATGCAGACTTTGCAGCGCTGTATTAAACTATCCATTAGAGAACATGAGACATAAAATATTTTTTCATTTACTTTTAATATACGGAAAATATATTACTTTTGAACTATACCTACATTTTTATTTATGAAAAAATTCCAAGAAATATCTTTGAATCTGATTCTCAAGACCAGAAAACCTCTTTCAACTTTTTATCAGTGAAAATCTAAGAGCATTCATTTGACATCATTTTTGGAGTATTTTAGTCAAAATTAACGACAATAAAGCATTGTTTTCGCGGAAGTTTATTTTTTACAATTTTAAACATTTTCCCGAAAAGATTCCAACATATTTAAATTTAATATACGTAGGTATATTTATTTGGTTACATAATGTTTAAGTGAAATAGAGAAAGGAAACTTGGATTATGTTAAAGGATACCGAAAAAGAATAAAGACGATATATAACAATAAACATGTAATTGGACAATATAATAAACATGTAAAGACAAAAATATTTAAATATTTTATTTGATAATTTGAATATTTTAATTGTACCCATGTCACCCATGTTGCATTGTATTTTTCAGCAGATCTGTTGACAAAAAAATAATTTACAGTTTAAAATGTTCTAAATCTTGTATGATGTGTTAACAGCAAAGTTATGTCTCAGATAGAGCTAATAACAGAAAATCATAATGATTCATACGAAAGATGGTGATATAAAAATCATCATTAAATATTTACATAAAAAAAACATGTTCACTATAACACAAACATTAAACTTACCATATATATCCTGTCTTCTAGTGCGAATATTATACTGGTCACAGCATTGGGTGCATTAATTTTGTGCTGTAATATATAATGCACAATATAAAAATTATAGTTATTGAATGTTTTCATGTATATACTAGTTTTTACTTTGTGCTCAGAGGTAGTGACGATAAGTATATATCATAGTGATTTTCAAACATACATAGAGGTATAAAAATACATCATTGAAGTATATATTAAATAGATTTGAAAAAATTCTTTTATATGAACTTACAATGTCCTTGTAATGGCTTTAATTTGACGTTCACTTGACTGAATAAATACCTGAAATGTGAGAATGTCCCTTTTAGATTTGTTGTGCATTAATGCAATTAAAATGTAGACATATAAAAAAATATCAGTTAGGGGTGAAAGACTAAAAGAATGTAGTCTTCAGTGAAATGTCAGATGAACTATGAAATCATCATTGTGCGTCAAACTGAATAAATTAATGTATACAATAATTTATATAATAAAGTATACAATAACATATAAAAACGATCTTAACGAGCTTTTTTCTCAAACTTAATTTTATTATTCTATTATGTATTATTTCATTATGTCATTATTTTAGTCACATCAACGTCATAAATGCATAAAATTTGAGTTCCTTTTTCATTTTGTTGAAAAAATATATGTTGTTGATATATTTAACATAAACTATTTACCTAATTGCATTCTCCCAGTTTACAAATTTACTATAGTTCTCTCTCTTTTATTCACCAACTTCATCATAATCTTTACATGGTTCGTTACAAACGAGTAGTATTATTCGACAGTGTTATCTGCAAGAAATAAAAATTTTATTATGGAAAAATTAAAAAAAAAATTTTTTTATTAATGGGAAAATCAGCACTGACGGAATGTCGTCATTAAATCCGATAAATTATATATATTCATCATTTAAATATCAATAAAATCAAATAAATATTTTATAAACAAAATAAGTTACCATTAAAATGTGTGTTGTTAAAATTATCTTCAATGTTACTCCAGAGTAGCAAATACTTATTGAATTTGGTAAAAGTTTACTATGGTTAATTCTTTCTCTCTCTCTCTCTCTCTCTCTCTTTCTTATTCACAACTCTATCAAGATTTTTATTCAGTTCATTATGAACGAGTAGCATTGCTTGTATTATCTGCAAGAAATAAAAGAAAATTTTATTATGGGAGAACAATAAAAAATATAACATTTTAATTAATGGGAAAATCAGCACTGCAGGACATTTTCGTCATTAAATCCGATAAATTATATATATACATCATGTGTAAATCATTATAAATATCCATCAAATAAATATTTTATGGATAAAAAAGCAAGTTATACCATTAAAATGTGTGTTGGCAATATTCTTTTCGATGTTATGTCACTCCAGTCGCAAGTCAAATTACATAAATAGCTTAGTTCAATCTAATCCATTTTTCTGAAAATAAAAATAAAAATGTCATAATATAAAAATAAAAACATTAAATATGTTTTATAGAGCTTATTTTATAAAGATCAGATAGGAGCGAAAGACATAAATAAGTATCATCCGAGACATATCAGATGAACTATGGACTCATCATAAAAATATATAAAATTAGGAAAAAATGTAATTTAAAAAATTGAATTACTAGAAACACGACAAATGAATGTAATTTGCATAATCTTTTATTTCATTCTCTTGATTCTTAATTGGTTGTATAATATAAATCCTTTTAAATATAATTAATAAAAAAATATGTAAGTTACATACGACTAATATTTAAACACGTAAGTAGACTAATAAGAATTATAACGTACTTTAAGTTATGTACTTTTGCAGATTGTAGCTATTATGTATGATTGTTTATACTTGCCTTTTACTCCTGCTGCACTTCATTGATACGTATTTGTAATAAATATGGTTGATAAATAAATTATGTTGACACACAATGAATTCTGCATGCCATAGACTAATCTTTTATGAGCACCATCCTGTTTTTCTATTATTATTAGGAATTAAGTTATTAGATGCCATAAAATACGTTACGCTACATACTAGGTTTAGCTTCTAGTTTGGAACCGTGCTCTTTATAGATTTATTTCCAACTTTTCTAACACTGCAAACATTATTATCCTCTCCATTTTCATTTGCACGAACATCTAGCATTTAATAAGGCTCTTATTGGTCTTATTTCTCTTTTAATTTACATTTTAGTACTCTTCAATAGAGAAAGGAGTAATCTGATACACATCTGATACGATATCATGCTCCATTATTAAATTTGTATTTTTATGCACTATAATATGAAAAAAATATATAAGATTACATTGAAAAAAATAGATAAAATTTTAGAAAAAAAATATATTTAAATTTAAAAATTATATATATATTTATATTTAAAAAAAAAAATGCACATACCTCCGCAATATCATATTTTCAAGACTTCTTGAATTTTGCTTGCACAAAAATTCTCGGAACATCAATGTTCTCCTTTAAATTCACAGTACGTCTCTGTATGTAATCACAATTCAGTGTTTGAAAACCAACAGACTCGAATAGATTTGTTACCTCCTCCACTGAGAAATAATAACTTCTGAAATCCAAAAGTCGTATTATCATTAATATGTACTATGCTAATGGGACAAAAAACTCTATTATACAGGGTGAGGCACTTAAAACAAACTATTTGAATACCTTGGCCACTTGTAGCGATAGAATAAAATAGTTCAGACAAAAAGTACTTGATTTGAAGAGGGGAATAATATCAAGTAGATAGTTTCTTCATAAGTGGATGAGTAGTGCAGATATGAAGGTCAACTTTGTTGTAATTAATAATTAATTTTAAATGGACTAATATATTTTATTATTTGCCTTTTAATAGTGCGTTTAAAGACGTATACAATGATATAATACAAATAATACTATAAACAAAAAAACTTCATGGCATTTATCAAGTTCTGTTATATCAAGTGTTCAAAATGGTGACCTTGAACATTGATACATGCTGATGTATGATAAAATATATTGATAAAACTGATACATAGTGAAATTCGACGTGCAGTATTGTCCACACAGATTCGCTTTACAGCATATATCAATGCTCAAAGGTCACCATTTTGAACACTTGATGTAACAGAATTTGATCAATTCCTTGAAGTATTTTTGTTTATAGTATTATTTATATTATATCATTGCATGCGTCTTTAAACGCACTATTAAAAGACAAATAATAAAATATATCAGTCCATTTAAAATAACAAAGTTGATCTTCATATCTCCACTACTCCTCCACTTATGAAAAAACTATCTACATGACATCATTCTTTTCTTCAAATCAAGCAACTTTTCTAAAATATTTTTTTTTCTATCGCTACAAGTGGCCAAGGTATTCAGGTGGCCTGTTTAAAGTGCCTCACTTTGTATATGATAAAGTTAAATTAGATTATAATAAAGATATTGATAATATTAGATATATGATAAAGTTAGTTGCAAAAGTTCAGTTTTACTACAAGTTGATTAAACTATGGAACAATTGTACTTATTTAAACAAAACATATTGATAAAAGGAAAAAAATATAATGATACCTAGTTCCATCTTGTCGCATATAGAGATTCTCACTGATTTTGTGTCCTGGTTTAAAACGTAATTGAGCCATATCATATAATCCATAGTCTCGAAATAGCAATATTCCTCCATTACCAAGGACATTATATATATTTTCAGCAACTCTGATAAATATATTAACAACAATTAGTAACTACAAATCTAATCAATATATTAGAACCTCTTCCTCTTTTTCTTTTTATCCGTCTCTCTCACACGCACATAACACTATTAGTTTAACATACTTGCGAAATTTATCGGGATGAATGGCTGATAATACAAAAATGAGAGTGGCAATATCAACTGAACAGTCAATTTCGGAGAAACAGTTCTTTAATGTAATATCAGCGTGAAAGGCTCTCATTGTCGCGGGATTGAACAACGTGTGACTCTATGACGAAATGAGGTGAGACATCAGTACATTTGTATCCAATCGCATCCAAGACAATTTCTAATAAGCATGCACTCTATGTACCTTGAGTAACTCTATCGCTCGTGTAGATAAGTCGCATGCGAATATTTTCGAATATTTCAGTCCATCTTCTATCAAGGGATAAATAAAATTCCCAACGCCGCAGCCGACTTCGAGGAGGACATTTTGGCTCTCCACGCCGCCAAAACTGAGCAATTCTTGGAACTCCCGCGTGGTCCAGTGTCTATCTTTGAAAAATCGAGTATCGTTCCGCTTATAAAACAAATCCCAGTGCTTTTTTGCGTCCTTCTCTAGTTGATTCGCACGAAATTCGGACACTAGGCGGGAGTCTTGCGCCTTCATTTTATCGATTTCCTCTGCTGTGAGGCGCTTGGCCACGTGTCTCACGTTTAATATACCGTTTTCTATTGGCTCGCTCATTTTCTCCACGATAATATACCACGACACGACTAATTTAATCGCAGAATTATAGCAGCTAATCTATACTTCAAAACGAATTTCTCAACAAGTTTCTCTTTCGATATAAAAAAAATTCTTACTTTGTCAGGAGCAAGCTCGTGTTCACTCATCGGGATCCCAATAGAAAATGAAAGGCAAGTACAGGAAGTCACCTAGCGTGCTGCAGCAAAATGGAAGCGAAGACAGCGCGCGGTGTGGCCGTTGTGTGCAGTTAATCACCCGCGATATTCAAATAGATGAAATACTTAGATATTTATTCATACGAATAACTGGAGATAACTGTCATTATTAATATGAGTATCTAAACGTTTAGTCTACTAATTTTACTATTAGTGATTATTATACACTATTTTACAGATATTTATATGTAAAAATATGATGTCATGTACAATTCTTGCCTAATTCGAAGACTGAGAGTAAAAAGCTTTGCAATTCTTTTTGTGAAAACTGAGTGTACATTAAGGATATGGAGTTTCAACTTTTAACATTATCAACTTATTTTAATTCGAAATGATCTAAGGTCCATCGAAGTAGAAAATATTGCAACTTCTCCGCAAGCGAATACAATACGTACTACGCTAAAGTAACAATTTGTAAAATTTTTCATTTATTTTAATTTTCAAAATATTTAAATTTATTTACTTGTAAATATAGATTGTAATATAGATCAAAGTATATATATATATATATATATATATATATATATATATGAAATTTTTTAATAATTTTTATATTTAGAAAAATTTATAAATTTTATATCTATGAAAATTTATAGATTTTTTCAAGCATTGACAACTTTCCTTATGAACTAAACGTTATTTTTATAAGTCCTTCACGAGTAGTATGTTTAATATTTATGAAAATTAAGAGCCGGTTTTTCAATAACAGTTTAAATTTGGATTCAAGTTTAAACTCTATTCTAACAATGTGTTTGTTTTGTTTAAACAGAGTTTAAATTGAGATCTAAGTTTAAATTATCATTAAAAAAAGTGGCCCTAAGATATTTATTAGATATTTAACAATTAAAAAAAGTGGCCCTAAGATATTTATTAGATATTTAACAACTAAATCTATTGATGTACTACTTAACCGAAATGTAAAGTAGGCTACTCGTTGCATGCCGTTTTGGTATGAATTTCACGTGCGGACATGCTTGTTCAATTAATATGCCGGTCCCGTAGGGGACAAATATTTTGTGTCACAGTATAACATTGGCACACAATGACGCAGTATTGAAGAGGACTGGGCGTGACTGAAATTCAGTCAACAAAATTGCACATCTCTTACAGTGATTTGTTAGGCAAAAAGCTACTTTGAGATAATGCAAGTATCACGTATTGTTATGAATATTTACGCGTTATCTCTCCCAAAGTGCCACACAAACTGACATAGATAACGCGCCTGGTTATCATCTCCGTTTTACGTCGCACGTACTTTCGGCATTATTCAACAGATTTTATGATTCATGAAAAACCCATAATACGCAAACCGAACGCAGTCAAAAGAAAATGTGAATCGATTGACTAGTATGTAGGTCATTGCAGACCACAATTTTGTCGAGAGCTTCGGTGGAGGTAACAACCATAGATTACCTGAATGGAATGAGAAACACGTTTCGCAATTCGCAGTCATTAATGCCTTGTGGAGTAACGTTATTTCGCAGTTTCCAATGCGGTCATCCTTCATGGCCGCTTTATAACTACATATATCTTGCTCTAGACACATTAAAAAGTGTCGCAATTAAAATCGTAACAAAACAATCAGGACGAGTTGATCATATGATTCATCTTAATTATGTTGTAATAGTCACATGTACAGTTAACCAATTAAATATGTTTTGATAAATAATATAAAATAATTTAGCAGTAATTGCTAAACAATTTGACTATCACCAAAGTATTTAATAACACACATTTTATATATTCATCATATAATATAGTAATTATTACTAAATAACATGATTTTATTTAACAAATTGTTGGCTGATATTCGCCACATAAATTAATAGTCATCTAGCCTCATCCACACCCACACAGCAGGAATGTTCTAAATATATCATAAGGATATCTTGAAGGTATCACATATCCCAAATATATCTTTAGGATATCCCTATAATATATTTTGGACACCTCTGCTGTGTGGGCACACACAGACACCACAAATCTTACTAAGATTATTCGTTAATACTTAATAAATTATCGGATTATGTTTACCTACATGTTTAGATGAAACTATTTCACCAAAACATTTGGTAACTATTGTCCAGACTTAATGGATTATTACCAAATCTTTTTTTCAGTGCATACTTTATTGCAACTCATTTGTTCGTGCAAGCGTCAAATTGAAATTCGCGATAAAAAAGCGAAGATATAACATCCACTATTCAATTTTGTAATTAATATTATACGCAATAATATATCGTAAATGATCATTAACATCAACATTTTGCGGCAACCGCGTGGTAGATGGAAGATCAGATTACATGAATTATTTGCAACGAAACAACTGATACCGTTGTAAATGTTGGATGCATACGATATATCTACTAACGTGCATGATTTTATAATTTTGCCGTTATAAACTCTAAATTGATCTCTTTAATTAGTACATCGTTAGAGCTCACTAAAGTGAGCCGTTGCAATAGCCTTCACGCGGGATACTGCACGCGCTTAACGCATAGTGGCGGTGTGTGCATAATCATAAAAATGATTCTCATTCTGGGGAAAGCTCTTGCGAGATTGAGCGTGCACTCCGACTCTCACGAGAGCGATCAAAAGATTATCCGAACTCCGCCCGTTACCGACGTGCGTTATTACGGTTCAGCAGGCTCACGCGATTTACGCAGTTTCAAATCCCACTAATGTTTCCATTAATACCATCGTGGATCCTTTTTTGCAATCTTTTTCGCGGTGGCATGAATTACGAAGATTAGTTACGGCCACTAGTTACCCTCGGCTTGCCGCCCACTCGGCAGTAGAAGTGGACGGTTACTTTTATGCGTCAAATTGAAACGACAAAAGAAGTTTGTTCAGCAGCTATTGTACAGCAGCTTACGTGCGTTGAAAGTCTGGAAAATAAATCTGCCATGTACTGTCAAACATATCTATCCTTCCTCACTTCCCTTAAAGATTTAAATTATCACGTCCAACACGTCTAGCAACGATCCTTATTATTCTTACTGATATTTTATTACTAGATCTTTCAATATTTTTCTTTATACAAAAAGTTTCTTCAAACATCATGACAGAAGTGTGATACTTAAAACACTAAAATAGATAAGTAATTATATATATATATATATATATATATATATATATATATATATATATATATATATATATATATCACTCTCGACAAATCTGAGAAATCTTAAAGGCACTACTCTGTTTATACAGAAAAAGAAATATTCTTGTTTTGAAAATATTTTTATTATTGACATGTAAATCTTAAAATGAGGTTACATGGTGTTAATAAGTTATCTGTATTTCAATATAGTTTATACGATTCAAAGTAAAGGAATATATATACTTATTATTCAAAAATAATTTTTATAAATGGAAATCACAAAATATTAGATTGAAAATGTAATATTGTTAAATGTCGGAAAAAATACTATAAAAATAATTATAGTGTACTTCTTATGATAGAGACTATAAAATTAAACTAAAATTATAAGACTCTTGAAATTCAAGATTTTTTAATTTTTCTAACAAAGTTATATATCATTGTTTATATATATATATATATATATATATATTAATTTAAGTATATTAGTTTTAAGTGAATACTGTATTTTCCGTGTAGACGGCCCAAAAATGATTACTTTTCAAGAATTCTTGTTGATATCAAATCAAATCTGTAGAAGAATGTTCCCAACATTTTTTCAGTAATTAGAGAACATTTTAAGTAATAATAATATTTAAAATAATACTTTTACATTACAAAAGCAATTAATAACTTTCGTAAATTCCATGAGAGCGAAATGACTAAATTAGAATACTCTTGCAGTGTTGAAAAATTTTTTCCCACGTATTGAATTAAAATAAAAAAACAAATTACTTTTATAATCTATTAACTGTCCTCAATGGCATGGGGAATATATGGAAATTAAGTAATTTGTTGAGTTGAGAAAATAATGATATTTTAAATACAAAGAACGAATTTTCTTTTAAAATAAGCTCAGTTTTCTTAAACATGAAAAAAAATTACCGTCCGTAGTCTGAGCTAAAGAAGAGCTAATTCGAATGATATATGCTAAACTTAAACTTTATCAGTTTCACATTAGTTTCTGAATTCTCTTCAATATCATATTAAAAGAATGTGATTTCGCATTTAAAGTTTTGAAATAAGGTTTTATATCTAAATTCTCTTCAACATCATATTAAAAGAATGTGATTTTGCATTTAAAGTTTTGAAATAAGATTTTATATATAGAAAATTTGTCTTTGATCTACTATTTTTACACCATTCAACTATTCTTTAGTTTCTTGATTAAAATTTTGATTAATTATTTGTTTCATTTTTTCAGTCATTTTAGCCTCTTTTGAAACTTGTTTTGTGCTTAGTAGAGCACAATTTTAATTATCTTTCTTCTCGTCTCGTCTTTCTTCTCTTCATGTAGTTTTATTATTTCTCTTTTTGACTCCCGTAGTGTTGAAAATATGTATTTTTTTATTCCTTTTATGAAAAAAAAACATGTAGCTTAATAAGTTGTTGTTATATTTTTTACTCTGCTATACGTATATTTAGGGGCAATTTGCTATAAAGGGTGTTTCAAAAGTGAAGGTCAATCGATCGGGAGATGATTGGCGTCTAAAAACAAGAAAAAAATTCATATAAACATAGATCTAAAATGTCTGGTTTTCGAGTCATCGCTATTTTTATGTTAAAATTTCAAATTGTTTTGCTTTCAAATTTTTTGGTCAAAATTGAAAAAAGAGATATTTTTTATGAGTTTTATAACATAATTAAAGTCAAATAAAAGTTGCGAGCATCTAAGATGCACCATATGGAGGTACAGCCCGCTTAATATCCCTTTATTTGATGCTAAGTAGGTTGTACCTCCATGTGGTATATTCTGGATAGTGCTAAAGCAGCTCGTAACTTTTATCTGATTTTAATTATGTCATAAAACTCATAAAGACGATCTTTTCTTTCAATTTTGACAAAAAATTCGAAAGCAAAGTAGTTTGAAATTTTAACATAAAAATGGCGAAAACAATGCATTTTTGGACATATGTTTATACCAACTTTTTTTCTTGATTTTGCTAGCTTGATCCCAATCACCTCTCGAGCGATTAATCTCCACTTTTGAAAGACCCTATATAATCGTATTGTAGCTTATTATTGTTTAGAGTGCAGCCTCCGAAAAGGAAAAAAATACAATGGAGCGATCCCCATGCCTCCTGAGATTGATTTGCCGGAAGCAGCATGAACCGTTTCTGATTTCTACCTGCGCGCTGCAGAACGTCGCATCATTCAATTCTAAACATTAATTTTCAGAATTTCCCATGAAACTACTTTGTATTCTATAGTCCATTTTATTCTACACACTTAAAGTTATTGACTAATAAAAAAGAAATTCTTCTTCAATTTTCTTCTTTAATAAACTGAGTCTCGTTAAATTTACAACCTAGGCTGTTAATATTATAAAACCGATATATATATAATAATAATAATAATATAATTATGTATTGCATATGTATTAACATATTTAGAACATTCTACCCAAACGTGTCACATATTACATTCGCGCGCGCGCGCCCACATACACACATATTACGCGTCAGTTACAACAAACTTAATAACTGCTCATTCTTTATGAGAAGAATCAGCGCAATAGTTTATGGAGTAATCCCGTGGGCGCTTCCCACGATTTATGCAATTGTGTTACACATAGTCTACATAGTCGACGAAATGATAATTACTTCTCATAGCACACGCTACAATCAAGTTACGTCGCATGTTATGCCGCATGTTAAATTTCTGCAGAGACAATGAATCTATCTCCGATATAAAATAAGTTCTGTCAGCTTTTTAAATATATAATTAATAATTATAAAAAATCTCGCAAGAATACAACTCTCGCGACTCTGAAGACGCAAATATGCCGACTTAAATGTAAATATTGCCGTGTTGGTTTTTGAGCTAGCACTGCGACCGATATAAATTCTTCCTCGTTTGTATCGTTGAAGTGCATGGATGATAAATAGCACGTAGCAATTAATGATCGACGAGTCCCACTGGAAATATGCCATGTGGTTGGAAATATTCACATAGCACACCTGCGACTCCACGTTTCCTAACGCCGCTGCCTACTTTACATAACTGCCCAATACGAAGTTATACAATTGCGGAATACTGGAACGGCAAGAAACGATGCGAATTGTCTGCAATGCTGCGTTCTATGCTACGAAAATTTTCATTTCTCTATGTCTTATTTGTATAAAATATATACATTCAGCGAAAAGCATTCTGCATGAATATTAGCTCTGTCATTTTTATTCTGTATAATGTTCTCCGTTAGTATCAGCCGTAAAAATAGAAGCGATGTATTCATAACGTTTTTGTGATAAATAATCCGGGTTCCGCTTACATATTTAACAAAATACTTCTGAACGCGAATCTAATTACATAAATAATTGCAATGCCTTTTTTGAAAGTGGATTAAGCATTTTATATTTCTTTACGTGAAATTTACACGAAGCAGTGCATATTTGTTTAAAGTATTAAGCTGTAAATTATTCATTAAGCAAGACAACAGTTCTTTCAAGTCATAAACCACAGTTAATGCACGGTGACTAATCTGCACGAATTTGTAATTTAATGAAAAATAATGAATTAATCTCGTTCACGTTAAATTTTGAATAATACCACAGTGCCTTGCCCCAGATGGTTTTTTAAACTGATTGGTGTAATAATCTCGAAGTAACATTTGCTAAAATAAATATTGCTGCAAGTTTTACTTTAGTTTGATTATTTGCGTTATTTTGTGTTATTTTAAACCTTTACTCCATTTCATATAATCATACTTTATTATAATATAATGAAATTATATTTTTTGCTACAGAGTGACTGATAATTAATGAAGCACCCGTTATATGTAGATAGAATCCATTAAATTGAACACAAAATTTTTCTACAACCACGCAAAATTATTTAGTTATTAATTGAAGAAGATTAGTAAACGATCACGCGCGAAACGATAGATGAGCTTTGATAGTAACGTCTATTATCGTGTACATTAGACTAAAACAAAAGTCCTCCACTACTTTGCAAATAACAACGTAAATTTTTAGCAGTTAATTAAAAAACATTAGTATGTTATCGCAATCATTCGCCAATCTCCTTTAATTAATAACTCAAACATTTCCGTGGTTATTTACAAATTGGAAGAGATCTCTTCTACTTAATTTGATGATGTACATCAGATAGATTATCTACCATATCGCGCGTGGTCATATTCGTCAATTTGCTTTAATTAATAACTCTAAATTTTACGTAGTAATTTGCGAAACGATAAAGGTGTTTTATGTTAAGTTTGATGGATCCTACCTGAACACAACGGGTGTATCATTAATTATGAGACACCCTATATTTCGCGCACGACTTTCTAACGTTCAGCTGGACCCTTTCTCACAATTTTATTTTTAATCGTTAATCTTAAAGTCTGTGCAATAATTATTTTTGTTCTCTTAATTCGCCTCTACTATCTAAACGCGCACTAAGGAATAATCGTCCGGTACACCAGGAAAACATCTCCATGACAATCGATGCATCTCAATTATTACGGGGCGATGCATGAGAGAGGCGCGCACGTGACCGTAGGCGCGGCGGCGGAGGTACGAAGATGCCTCGCCGTGCCTTTTCCATTCCGTCGAGGTAGGCACGGTCGAAGTATCGTATATACCGTTCCTCCTCGTGGGCATTCCAAGCGGGAATTCTCGAAAGCCAAGCCAGTTGTGTTGTAGAAACCGCGGCGCGGCTTGCCACTCGCCGGTACTTTCGACCGGCCGTAAAGTCGACGTTTCGCGCTCGTGCTGCTTTCAGTAATACGGAATTTCGCCCCGAAAGCGGACGCGACCGTGTCGCGAACTATTGGCAACCCACCCGGAAGACCGACGACCCATCGATAAAATTCTGGTGAGTTATGCGCGCATTTCTACCTGCCCGTCTACCTGCGCGAGAAATCGACGGTCGCTTACACGGGAGATCCATCTTTAACGTTGAATAGAACGCTTCGACTGTTCGGTATTTCAACCGTCGAGAGACATTGGTGCTTTAACTAGAATTTACAGCTTAAACTTGCTCCGTGAAAAAGTTCTCGGCGTAGGCGCTACGCTGTGTGTTACGTATTGAAGTTTGACAGGTGTGCTAACAGGATTATACATTCTGTGTTTACATGTTGTTTATATAATGAAACAGTGGGAGGCTTTAGAAGAAGATACGTTTTTATTTATTCTTTCAATGCACTATGACAAATGTTTATCAAAACCTCATATTCTACACAGAAAAAATATTGTATTAAAAACTTTTGTAATCTTGGACCATGCAGAATTTTAATTTAAGTAAGTTAATGGTACCAATTTAATAAATATTTGTTAACTTTTAAATATTTATTTTCTCGGTGTACATTGAATTATGGCTGAAATTATTATGTATTTGTTTCAAAATGTTACGCACGTTTGTTTTTTCACCAAATTATTGTAAATGCTTGAATGTTTTCTGTATCGTATATCAAATAGATTGAAAAATTTACAACTTTCATAGTGATTTTTATTATAATTGTAGAAATTCAATTTTTTAAGTTCAATATAACTTTTACTACAATATTTTTTCCGTTTATTTTTACTAAAAAAATAGCGATACAACATATTGGATTACGACGGTAATAATATTGATAATTGATTCGTCGTCAACGTGGCTAGAACAAATTCCAAAGAACATTCCTTGCCTTAGCGCACCCGGCTCACTCGGCTTTAGATTATTTGAATTTTAATCGTAGATTAAAATCTAAGTTTAGAATCTGGATCACACTCGTTATAAATGTGATTGCCAGCGTATCTCTTCATCGCAGAAAATAGCTATCAGGTAAATTACAAATAAACTCAATTATTATTTATTGAAGAATCAATTGCTGAAATATTTTAGTTAAAAAATAGTCTTGCAGTTATAGCAAAAATGGTCCAGATGCGAGAAATTAGCTGAGGCGGACACTGCGATATCGCATATGTTTTGTATTTAATCAATATATACGACAGAGACAGAATTTCTATCTGAACTATTTATGAAATTTAGCAAAAAGTTTCCCTGTGGTACCTTTCTGATTAAAACCGGCCACGCTTTTCATAAAAACTGACTGGCGAATGAGAAAGATTTGCTACGAAAGATAAACAGATGTATTCTGAGAAAATAAATATTTTAAAGTTAACAAATATTTATTAGATAGGGACCATTAACTTACTTAAATTAAAATTATCTTTATTTAAACCGAGTATTGTTTATTTTAAGAAACCGAGTAAATAATACTCGATCTAAATAAAAAGAATTTTGATTTAAGTAAATATATTAATAGTATTTAAGTAAATATATTAATAGTTATTCACCTGATAAATATTTGTTAATTTTTTGATATTTTTTTCTTAGAAAAATGTACGATTCTCATACCCATCTAAATTTGCTTGCAGATGTTGCTAGAATGCTGCTGCTATAAATTCTACATATCAATTTCTTAGCAGATACAAAACATTTTCTATCAGATACAAGAAATAGCATAAATTTTAGCAGTGACATTTAGAATTCTGCTTAGATCAGCTATTCCAAATTAACGTGAATAATCGGGATTAATTTGTTCAATCAACAATTTTGAACAAACATTAAAAAGGAATTATATTAGGAAAAGGAATATTGATACTTAGATATGAGTGGAAGTTTATTTTAGAATTATCACGCAATATAACCGGCGTCCGTTATTTGATGTTAGTTTCCAAATTGGTTTGGGCGGATCCCGAAGTCAAACAGAATCACTTCATCGCTACATTTAGAAATCCGCGGCTGAATATACGGTGCCGTTTGCGAAAACGCATCTCGCGCGAATCTCGAGAATCGTGGAAACTCGCGTACAAAATATTAGAGCCGCATCCATTTGCATGAGCGATTCCTTTGTCTCGATTTCTCGTTCAGGGCGAGGTTCGCCATTTCCGCTTTGGAACCTTTGATTATCGCCACTAGCGGACCGTGTCATCGCGAACGAGACCGTTTCCGGGATCTTCGATCGATTATGTGCTCATGAATAATGTTACTGCGTCGCGTTGTTCGCACGAAGGACGAAGGACGGCTGAAGAAGCTGGCGTATCGTTGAACATTGAGAGTGCAATGGTGCTGACCTCCTCGCAGCGGTAATCAAGGTTTAATTAAGCTGAGAGGCGAAAAGACGACTGTCGCTGTCCGCGACGTCTGTCTCTAATATTAGAGCTGCAGCATGCAATTTTTCGCGAGTGCGTTTGACTCGCTCTGTGCTCTACTTAGCGGCGATTTAATTTTCACTCACGCCAGGAGCCCCAGCCACGATCGCAATTAAACTGCTCTCCCTGATCGTCTTCACTGTCCGCGAACACGCGACGCATCGTCATTGTCGTTATCTTCTTTAAGTCGCAATATAATTTCATGTCTCCTGGACGCTGATTTCGCCAACGGCGAAAATGACGATAACGACGAGTTTCTAAATACTTCAGAACGAGACGAGATCGGTTCTTTTCGTCGTGTCGAGAAATTCTAGGCGTGGGCGACGAAGGCACTCGAGTCAGATAGCGTTCTCCATTGAAGCTACCTGCGTCACCTTGAAGGCAATTGAATGAAATGTGTGGGAAATTGTACATAGAAAAAAGTACATTCTTGTTTCGAAAATATCTTTATTTTTAACATGTAAACTTTAAAATGAGATTACACGGTGTTAACTGAAGATAAGTTACTTATATCAATATATTTTATACAATACAAAGAAAAATAAATTCTTATTACTTGAAAATAATTTTTCATGGACGGCAAGAAATATTGGATTAAGAATATGATTTTAAATTAAATGTTGGGAGAGAGAGAGAGAGAAAGAGAGAAAGAGAGAGAGAGAGAGGAAATAATTACTATCAAAATAATTATATTGTACTTCATTTATGAGACTATTACAAAAAAATATCCAAATAAAATTATAACAATGTATTGAAATTCGAGTTCCTCTGACCAAATTACGAGTATGTATCTTTGCTTGTATATGAAACAATGATTGTTAATTTGAATATATTAATTTTAAAATGAATACTTATTTTTTTCTGTCTATTGAAAAAAATAAATAATGAAGAATATTGTTCAGTTGGTTTGTTGTTATGGTGAAATTTCGGAGATGATCGACAAATGAAATATGAATGAAAAGTGACGCCTTTGATTTTTTAGGTAGATGCAACTTTCGCTACGCCCTAATTATGACGACGCAATATATAGGTAGTTCGCGATGTCTTGTATCTACTTCAGGTGTTGCGCATTGATGCACAAATCAGATTTCACGATTATGCGCGATTAACGCTCGTACTCGTGTAATAGAGAAAAGAAAAACAAAACTCAAAGAACGCTACGGGATATTGATGTTTATATAGAGCCATTATTGTATCCGATTAAAGTGCAAGCGATAGCGCGCTCTCTCTCTCTCTCTCTCTCTCTACTTTACACTTGCAATGAACTTCAAAACTAGGTCGACAAAAGTAATTGCCGTGTCAAATAAATTCCGCCGGTGAACTGATGCATCTTAAGAAAGTACTTGCTTCGATTTAATCGTAATTTAACAATAATAGCCGCATCATTGTGATTTGAATTAAACTATATATCACGCTATACACAGAATGTAGACGGTAACTGGCTGGAAATTTTTGTTGCTTTCTAGTATATTTTCAGTATTACTGCCTATATCCTTGATTTAATCGACGCTTATTTCGACAGTAACTAGGCAGTGAAACTAGCCGTAGTTTCTAGATAATTATTATCAATTTTTAACTAATTTCTAGTCAATTTTTATCCTTATTTTAATTGTAATTTTCTTTTGGATTGCTAACACATAAATGTTAGATAAAGAAAAACTATTGAAGAAAAACGAAAAATGGTCGAAACATATAGCATTGTATTAACCTTTAAAAAATATATTTTATGCACTGCTAACAGCGGAAACGTAAAATATAAATAAATATAACTTTATATAAATATGCACTTTATATAAATATGCATTTATATAAAAATGCGTATTCTTTAGCTATTTTCATATATTTATATTTTCTTTTTTATTTCCGTATTTTTATGAAACGTTTACTATGATAGTCATCTATAAAAAAATAAATAAAATAAAATTAAGGACTGTAGCATTAATTGCACACTGTTTAACTTCATTGTGGTAAATATCTGAAAAGTATTATTCATAATATTGTCAGTTAAATAGACATAAACGAAATGTTATTTAGTTTGTTCTTATATCTGGTTCTAATATCTGGTTAAGTAAGTTCCGGTCAGTTCCGGTCAGATGTCTAGTTAGAAGAATTAGGATGTTATGAGTTTTAACAAGATATAATGTAACTATTAGTTACTATTCTGTTCGACCTGGCTAGCTTTTGGTATAACTTTTGAATAATGTCATCTCTTAATGATTTGTATTATTATATTTAATTATTATTTACATTATTATTTATATTATTTATATTATTATTTGATATTAAATTTGGTAATAATTATATTACATTAGTCAATAATTAACGTTTTTTCTCAAAATAATTTTCTTACTCAGTTGTTTAATGGTTACTGTCCAATAAAACCTAAATAGTAAAAACTGATTCGTTTCTGACATGTGATCAACTTTCTCCGGAAGTTTTTCTGCTTGGAACGTGCTCATAACAGCATCCATAATTAAATTTCCGTATCAGGCGAATTAATATGAGGAGAAATCATTTATTTAAATCATCTCTTGGCGGAAGGTACGTGTTATCAAAAAATTTTAAATTTATCCCTTATCTTCATGAAGTTTAATCAGCCTTGTAAATATCCACTTCGAACTAAGAGTCTTTTTGAGACTCGGCGTAGTATCTTATAATTATGCTCGACTAAGAAGGAGC